CACAAGCAAGCAGAAGCCACGCAAACCGCGTCAAACAGTCGCTGAAAGTTCGGATGGTTCCGTTATTAGTACTCTTAGTCTTACTTTTACTCTTACTCTTACAAATCGTCCGCTGAGTCTGCTGGGTCCACTGGGCCTGCTGGGCTGCGGTCCGGCCGACTTAACAGGGAATGGTCCGCTGAGTCTGTGCAACAAAGCCATAGGCCAAGAGAGACCATTACCCCTGAAGTAAAGAAGTAAAGACTAATTATACCTTAAATCACGCTTCTTCGCCTAGGCTTTCGCCGAAGCGGTCAGAAGTTCCCACAAGGATCCCGTGTCTCCCCTCCTGTTATATACTTCATCCTTACCACCGTCTCTTCTCGGGCAGCCAGAACCTCCCCCCTTGCGGTTGTGCTTTTGGATTCAATTCCCCAAACTCAGGTCAAGTAGAAAAGCCTCGTGTGCTGTAATTGCCTCTGGATGCTTGTAGGCAATCTCCTCCCCTTCCCCGGTCCTCGTCCGCTCCGCCAACAGCGCCTTCAAATCACCAACAGTTCTTTGGCCCTGCTTGTTTGCGGCCGGGCCGAGGCGGACGACGCGAAGCGTTTAAAATTACGCAAATAGAATAAGCCTAGTACAAAAACCCTAATTTAGCGTTACTAGGGTTTTTTTTCATATTAAGTTATATTTCATGACCCTATCATTAATCTTAATATAACAGCCCCAGTATACCAATCATGGCCCTACTATCATAACCCAAAGATAACAGACCTAATATTAACCCTAGTATAATACCCTAATATAACAGCCTTAATACACTAACCGAATATAATAGCCCGAACAATACTAGTTTATGCTAAAATTAGAATAGCCCTAATAAGACGACCTTAAAAACCCTAAACTCGACACCCTAAAACCGAAACGGTCCAAAGCGCCCAATCGGGTTTAAGGCTTACCTTAAACTACCATAACCTACTTTTCTGTAGGTTCTTACTATGAACCCTAATATAGAATTTATAGGGACCCGACAAAAAAAAGTAGGTTTTGGTAGCTTAAGGCTCAGGGCTTCGGATCCCCAGTTGCTGCGGTCGGGGGTCTACCTAGACCCTGCATGAAACCTTAGCTGTTGAGTTCATAAGCACGAAAAAAAGTGTACAAATTCAGCTCATATAAGGGATCATGATAAGGGATCATATTATCCCAAAACGCTTAAAGGGTACTCATTCAGCTACTAAGAAGTTGTCTGCTAGCATAACTTCTCCTATGGTCCGGATCCGGTACTGTGAAACAGGCAACCAATACAGCTGCAGTATTCTAACCGCTAGACCCTTAACCCCAGACCCTGAGACAGCTAGACCAATCGCAATCCTCTGAATTTACCCTTAACCCTCAGAAGGCTAAGAAAGCTACAGTACTCTGGGTTTCGGGTGGTTGAGGTGGTTGAGGAGACAGGATGATCTGTAGCTTAGAAGGCTTAGGATATAAGATTAAACTTGAGGGTTGAAGGCTTAGGATCTTATTGTCATAAGGTTTACTTACTTGTCCAATCCTTGGGGAACTAAAGGTTGGCCTTTGGGATTCTATAGAGATTATAATACCCCCCAATGGTCAAAGGTTACCTGCTCGACTACTATAATTCAGGATTCA